ATATATATACTCGCAGCAGCCGCAGGAGAAGCCGAGAGAGCGAAAGAAAGGGGCCGGGGGGGGGGCACAAGATTTGCATATTAAATGGCTCGAGATTTATAACCGAGGGAGCGAGAGGTATATAAAAGTTGAAATGGTCCAGAGGTGCTAGAAGTCTCCTCCCCCCCTTCCTTCCCATCATCTCCCGTCCGCTCCTCCTTACCCTATAAACGATAAATAAGTGCTGAACGCTCCTCTCGCGCTCGCCGTTCTCTTCCTCTCTCTCTCTCTCTTTCTCCTTTCCCGTGTCTTCTTCTCCGTGGCGGGCGTTTTTCTTTTTAACTCACGCCCGAGTGATACAAGCCAGGCAGGTATATGCAAGTGAAGGGGGTGGGGGTGGAGAGAGAGAGAGAGAGAGGTCTGTTTGCCAACTCGCAATATCGTGGATCAATATGTATCGATCGATCGAGTTTCTCGGAAGGGACGAGGCCATATGATTTTTATGCGACCGATGCATCCTCTCGGGGCTGATAGCAATGCCTCGCCGACACTGGTATACACGTATACGCGCGTATGTGTACATACATATATGTTGCACTGCGGCTGATACAATCGCGTAATTGAATCGTAATTCGAGCCGAAATAAGAGAAGGCGATCCATCCCTATACCTTGCATCCTTCCTATTTTTTTGGTTTCCGCTGGAACTTAATTAATTGCTCGACGTCGAGAAGTGCACGGGTGGCTTCACGGGCTTTTTTTTTCTTCAATCGTGCGGCGCGTATTGTTGCGATCGAGGACAAGGCACGGAGTAATCAATTTTACTTCCATACCGGCGTCAATGGAATTTTCCTTCTAAATATTGCCACACGGCACAACCAATGGAAATTATAAGGACCCGTTCATGGCAAAATTTCACCCAACAGTATATTGGTTGATTATATGTATGGTGAACATATTAAAGTTATGCACTAAAAAGAGATAACGGGTCAATTGTCACTTTTCGATGCGCCGTTTATCGAAGCAGATCCCCGGCAAAAGGTGAGTATAGCGTGCGACAACTGCGGACCAAAACTCCAAAGTGGGGCCCAAGTGACAAGGGGGAGGTAAAAGTCGAACAGACAATACTTGGGGGGGGGGGGGGAAAGGTTGGTGGTTGGAATAGGTGAGACGCTGGAAACTCGACACGCGTTACGCAGCGGGGCCGAGACCGGAAGCCAAGTCGCGTGGCGCTTCTAATTATAAACGCGGCGACTCCATCAATCAGCCGCTTGAAGATGCGACGTCCCTCTATTTCTCCATCTCTGCCTCACCGTGACGCGCGTCCGCGCTATACTATTATTGTAACGCCGGTGCGGCCCAGCAACGATAATTGGAGGTAATTGGGCCGCGGGTCCCACACCTCCCCAGCGCGGCCTCTTTTGGCCAACTTTCGCCTCTGATCCTCCGATCTCCGAACGGTAGTGCTGCACCATCGGTGATCAGACAATCTTCCGATCGAAAGTGCTGGTTTTACACTAGTTTCGGCCACGCAAGGGAGATCAGCTTACGAGAGAGCAAGTTTCTAATAATAGCTCGTTCACAGGCTGCGGTCGGATGATAGATTTTTCGGAGCTTACTCGCGCTATCGGTCCAGCCCCGTTCGACACGTGCACGCGGTTGTTTTTCCTGTACTTACTCGGCGGGCCAACCTTTTTCTGTTTTCGCTTTCTCCGTCTCTTTCTTCCTTCGTTTTTTCCTCGGCTCATTTATTTGTAAAGAAACGTCAAAAATTTGACGAATCATTCGTTTACTCAGCGCCCGGTGTCTCGAGAGGCAGCGAGCCGAGGAGGAGTCGTCTTGCGTGTTTGTCTTTGCTCGAAAGTCCGAGGAACCGGATTTCATTGGTTTTTGAAGTGAGCCGCGGTGCCGAGCGAAATCAATGAATTTGCTCGTCGGGACCCTTACATGGCCGTCCCGTAGGTACGCTCCACAATGTTTGATAAAACTCTGCTCTTTATTTTAATTGTGTTTTTACAGTTGAGCAATTATTTGATCAAAACGAAAAAACACCTTCCACACCCGATCTTTTTATTCAGAACCTTGAGAACGCGGCGTGTACGTTTTTATCTCTATGTACACCTTATACAAAATCTTACTTAGGTTTCGTTAAAACTGTTTGTTGATTAGTTTAATTCGTGTACCATAAGGATACGCATATAATATCCGTACAAAGTATACACACAGTTTGTACTTTTATTGAAAAATCTTTCAAAGCAAACCAAGTCATTTTAAGTGCATTTCACTAATGTATTTACAAATTCTTCATATGATTTTATGTTCAAATATTTAAATGTGTTTTTTTGTCCATTTATGACATAGAGTCATTAATTTTCCAAATGGTAATAAAAGCAAATGAATTTTCTGCGTAAATGGCGAAAACCGTTGTCGTGATGATAAAAATTATTGGGATAAAATAAAACAAAGTTAACGAATGTTCGTGAATAAAAATTGGTTTTAAATAATAATAAAAAAAAAAAAAAGAGTTGTCTTTTGTGTAAAAAGACTATAGTGTGCCGGATGACGTACAAAAATGAGAAATGCCAATAATTATTAAATAACCCGAAAAAGAAAGAATTAGTTTTACAATGCAGATTGTAACGAGACGTCGTAGGTCAGTATACCCAAATTTGGACTTGCACTGCGAAAAATGGTCATTGAGTTGGCCACGTGTGGTTGACAGTAGTTTTTACCAGTTGGCATTGTTATACCAGTAATTGTTCAAAAATAAATATTTTCTTTCCACCACCGTGGTGGTGCAAAAATTGAAACGCCGCGTTCACCAGCTCGAGCGGAGGCAAACGTTTCTCGAATAAGGCACTAATGGTCAAACACAAGTGTAGGTGTATCGAGAGCTCGTTGCACGCTCGCAGCCATCACAGCCCGTCCCACTGCGACGAACGCCCTGCCTCGGCCCGCATCGCGAGTTCCTGCCCGTGGGGACGACACGGCTGCCGTGGGAAAACAGAGCGTCGCGAAGGAGCTGTTGCGGGGGGACACCCAACGACTCCTCGGGGGATTCCGGGGGAGGGGAGCTCATTTCCGCCAGCATCGGGCTTATGGTAATTCTCGGGCGTCGCGTAATTGGGAGATCATCGGGGCGAGGCGGGGGACACCTTGACACTGAAACGCACTTTGCGCGGCTTGTGAGAGCGTAACTATATCGGTACACGAGTATATATATGACAATAGCGCTTACATCGGTGCCCCATCACCGTACGGCTTGACTCGATGGTGCACGTTTTATTTTACCTGTATGACGCAGGTGCACCTAGACACGGTCGATTTTGCCCGAAAAGGATATGTGATGGCTGCATTTGTTGATAGCATATACCTCGGACGGGTGGTGGTGCGAGGAATGGAACTACGCATCAAAATTATGGTGGGCCCTCTTCACTGACGTACCCATGCGGTAAACGAATACCCGTAATTCGTAACGTTAACCGAGACAAAGTATCGCCCGTTACAAAAGGTAGTCCACTCCACCTACTACTGTGTATAGTTCATATTATCGTATTGTAAGAGTGTTACTAATGCAGCCAAACTCGGTGGCGGTTTTCCATCGAGCCGTTCATGTAAAAATCGGCGAGTGTAGTGCCATAAGGTTCCATACGACGGAGAAAATGCAAATTTCAAAAGCTTCGCGTTACAGTGATGACATTTTGGCTTGTTTTTCGAATTTACGAAAACGCAATCAATTTTTTGGACTCAATCTCGAAATCAAATTGACAAAAATATATTCTAAACTATTACAAAAAAAAAAAAAAATCAAACGGAAAATAACTTGATGCATTGTTTCAAATGCCTGCTTCACATGATAATACGGTTATTGTGAAACGTCTCATGCATGTATATGTGTATTATTTGGCAGTATTGTTGTAAATACGAATAATTGTTGCTTTCCTTTTAGTTAGCGAATCTACAGGCCCGCAATAATAGGCGCTGTCGCGTTTAATCGACAAAAATTTTCATTGAAATAATGTTAAAAGTAAGTACGTGTTCCTTTCAATGACAAACGATTGCAAAAGGAAATCTTACGAAGAAACGGATTTCTTTATCTCCTCTACAGGTGCAAATACTACATCGTAAATTATACTATATGGAGATGAAATGCCTTATGCGCGATTGATACGTGATCAATAAAACATATGTATTTAATGAGTACGTAAACTTACCTTTGTTTTGCATGAACGTAAACAAATCGTCTAGGAACTCTCTCCTCTTTGGATCGTCATTTATTTCGTACAGCTGCAACAAAAAAAACGAAAAGAGTATTAATGATAGGGTAGAGAATGCACATGGGTATGATTTTCACCAACACAAACAACAAAATCCTTCCCGACAACTCGAGAAAAATGTTAAAAATAAATTCAGATTCATACATTTTACATGAATGTCATCTTTCAATTTTCCATTATCCCTGATACGCGAGATCAGTTGTTAAATGATCAACTTGCTCATTCCTACATATGTCAATCTATTTTTGAATCAAGTCATTATTTCTCCTATTTTTTAATTTATTTATAGTAATATATAGGTACCTACGTGTAGATATCACCAACTCAATGTCAAGTAATACCTGTAAGCGATTTTTACCAGATCTCAAACTTGGTTTTTTTTTAGACACACCCACACTGATGGTCCCTGGATTTAAATTTGTCAGATTCTGTGACGCTTTTATACCACTATTTTCTTTTTTTGAACTCTTAGAGTGTACATTCAATGGGGATGGGCAGAATCGCCCGAAAGGAGACACAAAAACAATAGAGACAAGGTTTAGAGAAGGTCACGTGATGAAACCTCTCTGTCACCTTATAGAGGGGACCATCCAACCGCACCCTCAGAACACATGAAAGTCAGAAAATCGGTGGCAGGAAATATCCTGCATAATAATGCAGTTGGCCCGCCGCGATTGTTTCGCGGAGGAGGGCAGCAAGCCACAAAGATTAGATGTAATAATCAAGTAGGTCTCGGATGATGCACGCGCTGCGGCGCTGGGCCACGGCGGAGGGGGGGGGGAGGGCAGCCAGGGGAGAAAATTAGTGCGCTCACAGCGACAGGCAGATTAGTTAGCGCTGGTTATTGATGGCGCCGTCCAACCTCTGGGCCTCGTGCACGCGCGACGCTACGCGCTACACGCATGATACACGCGCGACTCGAGAGAGAGAGATTGGATTGGAGCGCACGGAAAAAAGCTGCGGCCGTTCGCTGCCCCGGGCCAACGACGGCCTGCACTATTGAAGCTGCACATGCAGCTGCAATAATATATAATATATAGACGCACATCACGTGTAATATAATGTGGTACACGTATTATAAATATGAGCTGTATCGCTGCTGCCGCGGGTATACTGCGTCTGTTTTTGCGAGCATCGCGAGATAAATCCGATGATGGCTCTTTGGTGTAGCTTTGGTGTGCCGCGTACTTAGAAAGTCGATGTCTCAACAGTCGATCATTTGGCTGGTTTTTCCAATATTTCAATACAAATTTACAAAACTTGGATGAATCGGGTAGTTATTCGGACACTAAACAATTACTTTTTCAATAAAAATTAACGTGTATATATATATATACCCAATTGAAAATATAGCAAAGACCTATGAAAGTAAAAAGTGACCGACTATTGGGACATCAACCCAATAACTCAATACTCCTAACTCGTGCAATGTTCCTATAAGAAACCCGTAGTCGCCCTCTGCGTGGTGTTTCTCGCACGGCCATGCTCATAGGGATCGGGAAAGATGGAAAGCTAAACCGTACAATAGGACAGCTGGGATGAGGAAAGGAGAGAGCTCTTGGCGCGTTGATTGATCAAATGAAACCGCGGTGCCGGTAACCGCCGCTCAATCATCGTCACCGAGTGCAGTTTTTCTGTTACAATTCTTATACGCGTAGGTCGAAGCGCCCGGCGCCAGGCAATTTTTTTTTTGTAGGTTCTCGAGCAGCTCGCTTTATCAGGCGCGCACGTCAAGCTCGCCGGTGCTTCCCCCGAATAATTATCGCGAGAATCGATCAGACGGAGGGGCCCGGAGGAGCGAAGGGAGTCGAGCGCAATTAACGGGAGGGTGGAGAAGGAGTTACGGCGGAGGGGGCTCAGGCTCGTCTAAACGACGTTTCGTTGAGAAATGATCGAGCCAATGTCGGATCGCTCGCAATCAGTCCTTCTATTCATTTGTCGAGTCCACGCTCAAGTTTTCATGAGGCGCGGTCACGCCCTCGGACCGGCCGCTGCTCGGCCCCGTTCTCCCCCTCGACGAGAGAAGCGAAGAGCCGAGGTGCACCCTCTTCCCCTGCCCGCCCCGATGATCGTTTGGGCGTCTCTCTGGGGCCAACTTGTCGGTCAAGTCCGGTTGATCGAGCTGCGAGCCGTCTTCTTGAAAATCTTACATATGCACGCGCACAAAAGGCACAGTAGACGGCCTGAAGTACGTACGTGACTTTAGTGCCACTCAACCCGCGAAGGGCTCGCGAATATCTGGCCGTCTATTGTACTTAGTCGTGTTGCAATCGCAAATCTGTGATCACGAGAGACCACATCCGTTGCGCACGTTGTTGTCCGATCTTCATTTCCATTTTATTGTCAACGTGTACACGAGCAACGTAAAGTACGAGTTGGAGCTTGATTCTTTGAATGCACCGGCAGGGCAAGGTGGTAATGGTTGTCGGCAATAATCAGTTTGGATGTGAAAATTCAGGTCGGGGTTTCTACAGATCTAGCAATTTGGGATCATCGGACTTTTCCCGGACATCCAGGAGTATAATTCGAGGAATGCTCGTCCCGCATGGAAAGAAAGAGCGAACAAGAGCCAATGTATTGTACTAGGCAAAGTTTCATGGATAGTGAAATGGCTTACGGCTACGTGATTCACAGCTTTCAAACAGTGGCGTCGATTGCCCTTTCAATGATACTAAGCTGCAACCTACCTTTCCTATAAATATGTACTCCACAGCAACGTGCAATTTGGGAGTTGTAAGCGTCAATGGAGCCAGAAACATAATATCTACGGGTTGATACTCTCTTGCCAAAAACTGCATTAATGTAAAGAAATTGTTTTTGACTGAATCTAACTGTTAATTTGTGTGTATCAATTACAGCAACCAAATTATTACTACGGTTGAAAAATTTTAAGATTTTCAAATATTAGGTTTTTGAACCGCTAGATTTTAAATGAAATGTATTTGCCGACCATCCGCAAATTGGCCATCAACAGTAATTAGGTAAAAACTACGGATGTTAAGTTCATAGATTTCTAACTTTTTTAGCCAAATACCAATGAATAAGTCGACACGATGCCTACCTCAAAAGTAATGGATACATTTTTTATAAGAAAAGACGCAACAGCGCGCGGATTAAATTCAAAGTCCGAAGCTATCATATCAAGCGTACCTTAATATTAATTACGCGCACTTGCGATTCCATATCATGATCGATATGGGTAACGTATCGCAATACTTTAAAATTATTGATTATCTATTTGCACGATCATTATTGGATTCGCTGTAAAGGTAATTATACGTAAAATCAGTTGCTATTAACGAGCTTCCAAAATTGTTTCTAATCATCTCTGATGCAACGTTAAAAATCGGAGAATCTGTAAACTAAGTATGGTTGTGTGGACAATTCGGGACAATTAGCATAATTCAAACCTAATTTGTCAATTGTGATAATAAGTGAAAGCCAATTTTACTAGGATTACCTGATGCATAAATGTTTTAATGATGGACTGAAAGCAGCAAGTCTCGTCAACACCTTTCGTAAGTGGTATATTTCTTTGTTCGAAAACAAATCAGGGACTTTTTACGTTTATCACTAATTTGGTGTAATAATTTTTTTTAATTGTTCAATTGTTAAAGAACGTTAAAGTAACTGATACTACTTTTGATTTCAATGCGGTACTATGTTTTGAGGAGTGAGGAACTGAATTCCACTCAATGTTCATTAACGAGAAAGTTTTTATGTGGACATAATATTATATGAGTATAAAAGTGACTCTCATTACTATTGAAAATATGAAATTTGTAAGAGTGACGATGTTCAAATGATGCACGGAAAAAAATTTGGTAATACGAGGGCTTCATTTTTTTAATAAAATAACAGCTATTGAGTCACCTCAAACTCGTATGCTAGTAGCCAAGATACCCACGAATCCCAACTTGATAGTGTAATAAAAAGCTGGAACCTCTTACTCACGGTTTACAAGTGTCGTGCTATGAAGTTGTAAATGCCCGAGCTCCATAAATCTTTATTGAGATTAAATATGAAATTCTCAGGAAAGACCTCAAATAAATATTCTCTATAAAATTCCGAAAACTATTTTGATAAAATTATTTTATTAAGATCATAGAAATACTGCATGTATCACGCCATGAGGGATAAAACAAGCAACAATTATTTTTAGAGCTCATTTTACTTATACTTAAAAAATATGTTTGGTTTTTATAAATTTTTGTAGCTCCTTATAAAAATTATATTATGAAAAATTTCAACTTGGGATATTTTATGCAAGCTTTCACTGTGGATTGGAGTAAGGGAGCATTTCTAAGATAGAAATCAGAGCTCGGAAATTGGGATTAGCCACAGTTTAATTTTCAAAAGTTCCTCACAAAACTCGAGAATTTTCAGAAAATTAAACTTTGGCTATTTCAAGTGGGGGTCTCTGATTCAACTTACGAGTACAAGGCTTCGAGTTTTATTCTCTCCGAGTCCAATACATCATTTATAGAGCTCGGATGTTTGTCATTTCGTAGCGCGATACTTTTAACTTACGAGTTAGAGAAATATATGGCGTTGGTGGCATTGTTTCGTGTTGCATTTCATCAGATTTGACGTAAATTTACGATCATAAACTCATCACTACGTCTTGTATTTCAGTTGTCCCAAATTGTCCACGACACAGGGCAATTTTTAACAAATGAACAAAACATGCCAAGCTAGGTGTTTCGTTCATTCACTTTCTCGAATATAATCTATGCTCGGTGAATGCCACTGAGGAGATCTACCAAAGAAAATTTTTTTTCCCAAGCCTACCGATCAGCGCATCGAATAATGGAAAAATTTTATGTAACGAAAATCCGGATCCTACCACCCAGTCGGTGCTGCGAGCCCCCGAATCGGCCGGCAATAATAAGCACCGGAAGATTTCGAACGAGCGGAGAGAGAAACGGAGGGTCGGGGTCTCGATCCTTTAACGTCCGTATACCACGAAACGCCATAAAAAAGGCAGGCGATCGGTCCGTCACCGACCTC